GAATTTATTTATTGGTCCATTTATATATTTCTGCTTTTTTTCTAGTTATGTCAGTGTCGGTCCTCCATACTGCAGAACTTTAACGAGGTAATTCAATGTCTGAATCAGGTGTGTTGGAGCAGGGAAAAACATAAAACCTGTAGGGCTGCGGCCCTCGAGGACCAGGATTGCCCACCCCTGGTCTACCGCATATACCGCGCAGCCCTGTTATGTTGGTATCGGAGCCTGATACTGGATCAGCTCCATCCCTTGGAAGAGCTTGTCAAGAGGCTGTTAAATATTCCTGGACCTCCTGTTTGCTCCGACTGCAAACATGAGGTCTAAGACACTAGCACGGATTGTAGATCATCTAACATATATTTAAAAAATAATATTTTTATGGTGTTTCTGAAGCACAAGAGGCGTAAGCTTTATCTAATGACAATGGTATCTGTTGTTAAAGATCTATGAAATGAGGACAAAACCTGATGCTCAATCTTTACTGATTACCGTGGTCGTTTCCAAGAAAATCTTAACCTGTAAAATTCCAAATGTGTTTTGGATCGTTTGTACTGATGTTTAGATAAGTTTTCAATCAAATGTAAGAATGGAGACAGTTGAATAATAAAGATTAGTTCAAAGTAATAGGTCCAGCTGTTTAACTGTTAATAGATACTGTAACTTGCATGCAGGGATAAAGGCCCACCTGAGGTCCTAAAACTGGTCCAACTTGGTCATATGAAAGCAAGCAGAGACAAGCAATTCACAAGGGAAGGGCGGGGTCCGAGAGCAGCTGGTGGTGTCTGATAGAAAAAGGCTGTRTACCCACAGTCCTTTTGTCTACTGTGCCTAAAAATCACCATCTTATCTTTAGCACATTTTCATCTGTTCAGCACAGGCATGTAAACTGACAAGGTAAAAAAAAAATTGTTCAAGATAACATTTAGAATGCATTTTGATCAACATTGCTTTTAAACTAAGTTCTCAGAAAAAAAATGCAAGTTTAAAATGTGAATGCGATGGTGTAACAGGAAAAGCAAACGTGATGCTAATCAGAAGGAAATTCTTATTACTTCTGTAAAAACTTAAGTCGCCAACTCAATAGATTAAGCTTTATTTATTTATCTTTTGGAGTTTTAATTAGCCAGGAGCATCTTCTCTTCTTTTTTTAGTTTTACTTTGTATTTGGTAAACAATAAAAAAGAAGTCACAATCGTTGTTTCATTATTTAAACAATGTAGGGATGAGTGTAGTTAAGGCGTAAAACAAAAATGCATTGATCACACGGTTTAGTAAAGAAAACACAGAATCTAGTTTCCATTAAGGTGGCACAGCAGAAACGGCAAAAGCTGTAAAGTCTCAACTTTTTTTTTTAAGTCCTGACTGGTTTGCCAAGATGGGTCATGACTTTATGAGGACAAGGTCTACRCATCATAAAAAGTAGAAAAAGTGACCATAAAGCTCATTCTGTCTCAAAGGTCCAAGTTCTGCTGCCTGTAATAAGCTACCAGCTATAAACAAGATCCATGAACGCGTGCGATTATATAGCTGTTAACTGTAAGCAAAGACACGTGTAGACACATACCTTTAACAATTTAATGTGCAGAAGTGTAACATGACTGCTGTCAGCGATGACAGTTTTATGAGATGATGATACTGTAGCAAAAAATAAAATAAAAATTACAGACAGGGCATTTAAAAGGCCATAAACGAGATGCATCCATGACATGGCTTGGGGTTCAGGACAGCATTTAACATAGCCTGAATAAAACAAATGTAGATAAAACTTAAAAACATTGATTACAGAACTGTTCATGACTGTATCAAGCTTTGAAGAAACAAAGAGCTTAGGGCTTTGACTTAAAATGTTACCTAATTAATAAAAAATAAATCGGATTGCTTAAGTAATAAAACTAGGCAGACAAGAAAGAGCATTCTACTTACAGCTAGCTTTAGCAAAAGAAAACTCTCATAATCTGAGTGATCTGTTTAATTTATAAAAGGAGTTAATAAAGCAATTATCTTTGAGGAACACGTCAGTATTTATAAAGTATGGCATAAATGTTATTAAAACGGATAACGTAACACTGACCTGCACACTGCACCAAACATTTAGTTAATGTTGCTAACATTTATAGTTAGCGTTAGCCTGCGAGCGTGAAACATACAAAAACTTGAAACTGCGCAGCTGAAAGGGAAACTTGACTTCTGATAGCATTAGCTATTAGCAGCTGTGTCAAAAACGTCATTAGTAAGACAACTTTTCTTTTCTTGGTTACATGTCGTCGTCAGCTGTTTCACATAGCCTGTGAGAAACTTTCAGGCCGTTGTTGCTGTCCGTGCTGCCATGAAACTATGTCATATGTTTGTCAAAGAAAGCTTTTGGCGCAGCTTTATGGGTATTTTCTCATTACGTGGTCTCAGGCAGGCTAAGCTCATAGCCTCTCTCCGTCTGATGGACATTTCGGCAAACCCGGACTTAAAATAATTTGACCAAACAACTCTGTAAAATAGACTCTCGGCAAACTAATCCGCCACGTTTCAGCTTTCATCTTTACACACATTCCGTTTCCATTTCCAATAGTTTCAACTTACATTACTTTCTCTTCTTTTTCTGGCCTCATCGGCAGCGGCTGTCTTCTGCTTCTCGGGGTCTGGCCTTCCCTTCCGGTTAGCAATTTTTCCGGGAACCTCCCACTTATTTTGTCAGTGGAACGCAGCATGACCTACGCAGACGCCGTAACACCGCAATGCTGGCTGTTTCACTACGTCAGTGGCGCCGCCATATTGGAGAGGGAAACACGTCTTCTGATCAAACAGGAGAAATTCAACTTTCAGCACAGGAAGTTGGAGCTCCAACAACCCTATTACTATCCTAAAACAATATTTTAAAATTTCTACTCACAAGTTAGAATAAAGAACTTCTTTAAAATGCATCATTCCACAAAAAAACATATTTTATTTCATTGTATGGGCCTACAGCCAGATCAAAATAGCTTCGTTTTTGAAAAAAAAAAAAAAATAATAATAATAATAATACAGTTGTTGAGTGTCTTTATAGAAAACTGACAATTGCAACTTTTTTATATAAGTTTTTTCTGTTTGGGTATTTCAAATAGGTTTTATTAAATCTGCAACATTAGCTTTTTCTCATTCTCATTGTGATAAAAATGCAAGCACATTTGTTGTAATTTGTTTTTATAACCACACAGAGGTGCTGTATACCTTTGATTCACAGCTTATCAGATAAAAAAATCTATTGGAAAATAGCAGTCAAATGTCAATATTTCTCCAAATCCTGATGTATTTATATGTAACAAAGTTATAGCAAAATTAACAACTATAGTGACTTTTGAATTATTGAGAAAGTTATGTCTGACATCAGTTGTTGCTAATGATCTACCTGAATAGATGAACCATGTTGTAAATAAACACTTAAGTACCATTTTATTCCTTAAAAATAAATTATTAATTTACAGCAGTGAATAGATCATTGCTGACGAACAATACACAATTATTCTTTCACAGTAAAGAATTGTCATTAACATGCAAAACACAACTAATATTATCAGTCCTGTAATTTAAGGAGATTGTTGTCTGCACCGATGTGGTCCTTCCTCTCATGATAGAGTGAACAGTCACTTTCTGATGGATGTCCCAATAGAGAACGTGCACGCTCCGGTGAATGATGGACAGGACTGGATCCTATTGGATCATTTWGTCTCACAGAGTTCTGTTGTGTCTTGTTATAAACCGTGGACATTGATGTGGAACTTGCTGAGGGTGTCAGAGAGCTGAAGGCGGTGTGATACTGCGGCTGACCCGCTGGAGTGTTGGGGGAATGAATCGGTGTCTGGGGATTGGTCAGATTTGGCACAACGTCAGCGTGAGTTTGAATGTTGATTGATGGATGAGAGAGACCGTGGGTCACTGGGAAAGTACCAAAAGCTGAGCTAATGCCCAGGAGGGAAGGACCTCCCTGGGTTTGAGTCACTGGCGTTGCTCTGGGTGCTTGAAAGGGACTGTGGTTCTGTTCTCTGCCAGAGCAGCAGAGATGTAAACATGTAGCACTCGATGAATGCTGCACGACAGAGCGTCTGCTGTGTGAGGGCGTCCCGCTGCAGCTGGATGCTGGGCGGCAAATTGTCTCGYGATGCAGTTGCATTTCATTGGGCGTGTCTGGAAAAACGTGAGAATGCCGGTTGCCGCAAGTCATCGCACCAGAAGAGACATGATGCAGCGTGGTCATATGAGCCTGCAGGCAGTGCATCATGTTGTGGAGCTGTTTGGCCATGTTGGACACTTCCTCATTYAAGCTGTTCACCTGACAGGAAATAAAGCAATCAAACAAAGGCATATCTACACTTTTGTTTTCACGTTAACACAAAAGGAAATAATATATGCAGAGTTGCTCATAAATGAAATGGTTGTACCTCTTTGTTGAGCTTGCTGATGTTCTGCCTCACCTCCTCTGTCTCGAGCAGCAGGTTAGCGCTCACCTGTAACTGGTCTGCAAAATGAGATCAGTTTTTAATTTTAAATAAGGAGGTTCAAACATAAAAAAGGAAAATTTAAATCTTTTTTCTTTTGCTAAGTCAGCCTTGACAAAATGTTTTAAGCATTTTGTTCTTTTTCAGTTTTATAATAGTTTACCTTGTATATTAGCCTTTGTCTCACCCTGCTCTACGTTGTACTGAAACGTGTGACCGTTGTCTTCAATTCCATCTACGACTCTGACAATTGGACAAAAGCATGTTAGTTATTTATTCATTAAAGAAAGCAGCACAGGGAAACTTGTGATAAGCTTACCTGGGGCTCAGGTTTAGAGGACTGACACAAGGGAAGGATGGAAGGAGTAATTTGGAAGGTCGATGATTTACATTTGAGTTATTTTTTAGCGAAGAAGAAGAAAGCTCGTCGTTTTTTAAAGGCTGAGGAGAGGGGCTGCGGCCTCTGCTTCCCAGCGCAGGTGATCGACAGAAGGGGCGTGTCTCAGTGTGATGAAGCTCCTCCCCTAACGTACTGAGGCGAGACGGGTGGATGGGGCTGCTTAAACTTTGAAGCAGAGGAAACCTGTGCCAGGAGCAGCTCAAAGTGTCCGCTGTATCAGTAGCCTCAGTGATATGAGGTGGTTTGTGGTCTGTAGAATTATGACTCTGGAGGAAAAAACAACTCGATGAGGCAAATGTTATTCTCTTGGTTTAGAGTACTTTCTGAACCTATTGAAATAATGCTTGATATAAGTCAACCAAAAACTAAAAGTAGCACAAAAAGRCCAAAACAGAGCTAGTTTGGTAAAGCAAATTTCAAAGAGAACAACATTTTTGAAGAAACTTTAAAGCGCTTGATGCATTTCTCTGGGGAAAATATTAGCAGATAAAGTTAAATTTAAAATGTGTTTAAAATTATATATATAAACCACTCATCTTTTAAATGAGCTGAATGCTTTGATACACGAGTAAGTAAAATKTATTTCTACAGCACCTTTCACAGACACAACATCACAAAGTGCTTAAAGGGGCAATATCATGTAAAAAAAATCAACTTTTTTGAGTTTTATATCATGTTATAATGTTATACTCTCATAAAAAAAACATGCCCAAAGCCTTGCTCTGACTCATTCATGCATGTTTGAGAAATCCTGCAGCGTTTTTATGAAGCCATGCTGAGGAGCAAAACGACAGGTGGGGACCAGAAACGCCTCTGGGACGTGTCTTTAAGCCGAGCTTCCTCATGGCAGAGCGCCCCCTCCCCTCCGCTCCCACCCGCTCTGCGACTCCGGCAGGCTACGTACTGAAATGGGCGTGACTGAAGTGTTTGGATAGACAGAGACCTATTTCAAGGCKTTTAGAAACTGTCAAGATGAGAAGTAAATTGTTTTGGGGATTTTTACAAACATATAGCTCTTTCATAAGCTGAAAATGTGACATAGTTACTTTATTTTAGTATAAAATGRAAATATAGGCTTGGAAAGCACATAATATCACCCCTTTAACACAGACGGAGAACAAATATAATGGAGAACAATTTTAAAGACATAAAACAAAACTATAATCAAAAACCTGTCAGAAGAAAATGTCTTAAGATGTTCCTTAAAGTAGACATATCCTGCTTTTWAATCCTTCCTTTTCACATTTAAATCATTCATTTCATGCTTTGGTCTGAATTCCTCTTTATTCTAACTTTACCAGCCTCTCTTTCACCACTTTTCTGATGTGTGCCTCAAAGCAGCTTGTTTTGTTACTGTTCCTTTAAGACGCTTCAAGCCCCGCCCCCCTCTGGCTTCCAGACCAGTCCACTCCGGTTTCATGGGGCTGGGGGGATAAATTTTCTAGCTTACAGAAACTTTGTATTTACAATAAAAAAAGATGTCAACAACAGAAGACTTGTCCATCCAGCAAGTGAGTAAATAGTTGTTGGTAAGTCCAGACCTTATTTGGCGATTCCATCGCAGACAATTTGACAAAACAGGCTCAGAAAAAGTAGAAAATACAGAAAACTGAACGGGCTGAAAATATGACCCAAACAGAATATAAAGATATCTTTGTAGCACCAGGAGAAACTAAATTCAACTTTTCTACCAGTCCTAGAGTCTCCAACAAGTACAACAAAATCTAAAAAAAAAAAAAGTGGATATTGCAGGATATGTCCCTTTTAAAGGAGTCAGTGGAGTCTGAGCAGCGAAGAACTGCAAAAATGAACAGGAGAAAAAGTATTCACACTGAATTTGTTAAATAAAACTCATCTCATAGTCAGATACAAACATACCAGCRACTTCCTGGGAGTCCATGGAAATCTTTTTACTCCCTACAGGTAAGTAAAAAGAAGATAATTACATTATATTCYGTGTATACATCGTTTACTGTACAGTTAATGTTTGTGCTTACATCAACCTCGCTGCCCTCTCTCAGGTTGTAGGTCAGATTGTGGTGGATGTCAGATCTGAASCGACTGCCGTACTCTGGGTACAGCCTGAGGACTTCCCTCAGAGCCTTAACACTGATGTACTGCAGGTCGCAGTAGGTCAGAGCCTTCACGTCCGCATTCGTTTTGATCACCTGGTCGTTCTCCGGCAGGTCTGCCCCGATGAGGTCACCTTTACCTGMACAGATTGTCACACGGACGCGTATAAATGACAGGGGGAAACAACTGGAAATGGTTCCCACTTTGTGCACACCCACCCAGTATGGCTTGGACCATCCCATCTTTCAGGACCTCGAGGGAGCCGGAGCAGACAAAATAATTAGCGTGCAGGGCATCTCCGTGGCGGATGAGGTACTCTCCAGGCGCACAGAAGGAGGTTTTGATGTGCAGGGAGAGGGAACGCAGACACCCTCTGCTGGCTCTCTCGAACACAGGCAGTTGCAGGATGTCTTTGTTCAGATGCATGGCGATGTCGGCACGCAGCTCATCGGGGAAGTCGTGCAGCAGCTGGAAGAATGTAATGGTGAAAATCAGGGCTTCAGTCATCATTAAATGATCATTAGAAACAACTTGGCAACATATATCTATGTTGGGAAGTGGCAGAGGCCGAACGAGAGCTGAAAACAAAATGTAGACATGAGAAGTCTAGTTTTTCTTCAATGCACATCATTTGTTCCAGCTTATGTCAAAGTTTTAAACTAAGATCATCTTCGTGTTGAGAAATAACAGCATTTTTTTAATCAAACCATATGCATAAACTCATGCATTATGTGGGAAATTTGTTTCAGATTACTGTTAACGTGAAAACAAAACTGTACTGTATATATGGTTTTTAATTATTAAATCCAACACAACAGATTTCTGTTTTAAAGGGATGATGCACTCACAAGACAGAGCTCAACCAAAACAGACTGTGATCAAAAAACAACATGTTCACAGAAACAAGTGTCTGTTTCTTTCCACACTGAAATAATTAAGCATTGAGGTGCCGGTGAGAGTGCTAATGAAAATTCACTCCATTTCAGCTCCTGCCTTTGTAATTAATGGGAACATCTCCAAGACAGATTCTGGCATCGAAATTCTATTTGCACCAAAATGGCATCTACTTAAGGAAATGAAAAAGAACGGACTCAAGAGAAKTGAAAATGTCCCACATTTAAAGGATTGTGACTGGGAATCTAGAAATACCCTCGGAAAATGTGATGCTTCCTTTCTGAGGCATTAAAGGGMTAGATTAGCACTTTGAAGAGGGGCTCTGTTAGAAATAATCAAGTGATACCTTACCTGTTGTACACAGTTGTTGAAACAACCGCAGTTTAGAGAAATGGAGTTTCTGGATTGATGAGYGAATGGCTAGTCTGAGCAAAGCCAAGACCAAAGTGGAACACTGCTGTCATAAAACAACTACAATCTTAATTTAAGATTCATTCGACTTACCTCATTGGTGTTGATGCCGTTGTTGACCGACCAGGTGGCCTGAAAGTACTCTAACATCCTCTGCTTCAGCTGCTGRGGCAGTCGATGCACACGAATGAAGTCTTTCAGATCTTTCATGCGGGTGTGGTAGAGCGAGCGGCGTGAGTACATGCGCTGGATGATGGCCGTCACGTTGCCAAAGACCACTGCATGCATCAGAGCTARCGGTGGCAGGAGACGGTAACAATCATCCTTTGGGAATATTTACCTCACATGGTAAACTTTTATAAGTGAGATCAAACTCACCCCCAATGAGCATACTGCAGATGGAGAAGATTTTCTCTGCGTCTGTGTTGGCACATACGTTACCAAAACCAACACTAGTGAGACTGCTGAGGGTGAAGTAGAGGGAGGCAATGTAGGCGCTGGGCATGGAGGGTCCACCTGTGGTGCTGTTGATGTACGGCGTCTCCAGGCGCTTTCCTAATTCCTGCAGCCAGCCTGACCAGATAAAGGTTTTTGAGATTCAATTTCATTAAGTCATTCCTTTTAGATTGCATCAATGAGTGTCATGAAATGGGTTGTRTCAGACTGATATAATTCACAAGAAGGTAAAGGAAACCCTGTGTCTTAAAATAAAATGAAGTTAAAGAGATGCTGAACAATTCTGGTATTTAATCACAACAAGAGATATACAGTAGGGGTGGGCATATTGGTCTCAGTATACCATTGATACCAAGTTGAGTATCGTTGTGGGATCAATACATGCATGAAGAGATCAGTTATTTTGTTTACACTTTATTTGAACTACTGATTTTATTTGTCCCTGGATTACTGAAGACAGAAACAAATGTTTTGTCTTTCTGCTAAAAYAATGACAATGTATGGATGCAGATCTGACTAATCCTGAGCAGGACCAATAAAATGACCAAAACAAGAGAATTTGATGTACTTTTCTCCCCCCTTTTTTTTGTTTGAAAACATTTTTCATCAGTGGCAACAATATTTATGGCATTTTGTTTGGCTCAAAAAAAAAAATAACCCTGAGAAAATTTCTGCATTTCAATGGAAATACTGCATCATTGTTTGCTAATCTTTTTCACAAAATCACTTGTGTGTAATACTTGACTTGCATGGAGACACCGCTGAGGTAGACTGGAGAAGAAAATTTGGACGATCCTGAACTGATRAGAACTGCTTATAGTCACACCCAAGAGAGAAGGAGTTAAACAGTTGCTGAGACTCTATGTCCACTAAYAGACTTTATAAATACTCCCCATCATGCTACAATTCTGTGCCACACAAGGTCGACAGTATGCCTGAAGTCACATGAGCCAAGGCTGACATGCATAAAAAGGGCTTGGACCCCGGTCATAACTGCATTACAGTTCTAGTTAACATTAGTGCTTATATTTGCAATCTAAGTTGTAAACACAATTCATTATTAATATTTGTGCTTTTCACAGTTAAAAAAACAGCAATAATTCTAATTGGATTTTAGGATTCTTGTGTGCTTTAGAGCTGCTGTGTTGATACAGTAGCTCAAAACTAAAAAATAACTTCAAAATCACAGGAGGTTATGCTGAACAGAATAACTCCAAGTATGACAAGTTAAAGGATCAGTGTGTAACATCCAGCGACATCTAGTGATTTGATTCGATTTGTTTATTTAACAGGAAAAGATTATTAAAAATCAAGCCTGACTCAGCATAATTGCTGTTTTACAGCAGGTTCCTGTTCTGCAGCACATAAATATAACATAATAAATAAAAATCAGGAAAACTAATCTGAATCCTGAGTCAGTTCTCACACTATTATACTGCTGATTTGATGCTCAAACTGGGTCAGAAACACGCTGCACTCACCTATGTCCCAGGTCACGGGGTCGCTGCTCTCTATCTCCTTGCGTCCGATGACGTACCAGACACAGGCCATCCAGTGAGCCAGCAGAGCAAACACAGACATGAGCAGAGTGAGGACCACAGCGCTGTACTGGGAGTAACGGTCAAGTTTCTGCAAGAGGCGCAGCAAACGCAGCAGGCGAACCGTCTTCAGCAGGTGCACTAATGAGGTCTGACCAAGAAGAGAGAAAATAGAACAAACAACACAAGTTCTGTAATAAATGTTACTTGTTAAAGCCTAATTTAAAATGTTTTTCATTTTTTATGTTTGACGTCTGAATAGATCTTTGGATAGTTTTTTATTTGAACAGTTTACTTTGTAAAATAAATCACTTTGCTTTGGACTTACAAAGATCTTATTGTGCATTACTCATTAACAAACATCCATAAAAAATTCTAATTTGGTTAAAATATGAAATATATTTAAAAAAAGATTGCTCAAAGAAGAGTGTGGTAAAACTATTTTCAGTTTCCTCTCTGTGAAAAACCCATTAGTCGCAGGTATTGTTGAGGTTATTTTAACAGTCTTACCACTGTGACGTTAAAAGCATAGAGGAGGTCAAAGGGCAACGCCGCAATCAGATCCACAAAGAACCAGGTGGTGCAGTAATGCAGGTAAATGGATCGAGCGTCGTACACCACCTGACCTGACTGGCTCACAAAYGTGGTCCGAAAATTCAGGATAATATCTGTAAAAGGGACAAAAATAAATGAATAAATAAACGTGTTCTGCTCAGATTGTAGTCACAGCAGCTGGAAGAAAGAAAAAAAGGACATGTTTTTACCAAAAAAAAAAAAAATTTAAAGAAAAAAGACGTGCATGTGATTTGAATCTCTGTTTTCCAGACAAATCTGTCGTGATGTTGTGTGACAGATGTGTTAAAGCAATTTCGTTGGAGTAAAATTGGCACGAAGTGAGAGAAATCTAATTAGGATTCATAACCCAGGGTGACTCTGACACTGYGAGTGGGTGAGAAACAGTGGGAGGTAGTCATGTGTTCACCATTGCCAAGGAAACAGCTGCACCGAGCAAAAATACTGTTGTCCTCACTTCAAACTCACTATTGTTGTTTTTCATGTTGATGTTTTCGAATGAAGGTCATTGTATGGGCAATGTGCAATTTATACTGAAGATACAGCTCTAGTGGTACAAGTTAGAGACAATGAATCTTTTTGAAAAGTTTTTTTTCTTTTATCTGACAACATTATCTTTGATTATTGCCCTCAAAAGGTGAAGGTTGATGATGATGTTTGGGTCCGTGAGTGTGTGCCTGTTATTCAAAGGCCTAGCATTCCTTAAATATTTTAAAGGTGGTGCATTTCTCAACTTTTTCTGTATATCATTTTATTATGCAATTCTGTCATCAAAAATAGCCAGTGTTGCTTTGACTCATTCATGCATGTTTGAGAAATCCTTGAATCTCTCGTAGTAGCCACATGGAGCTGCCTAAACACTTGCTGGTACAAAGCTCCGCCTATTTGTACAAAGCTCCTCCCAGGAACTCAGTCCACCGCTCCTGCCACACAGAGCACCCCTCCCCTGAAAATTTGTTGTGACGATGTGCTGAAGTGGGTGTGTCAGAAACGGTAGGAGGTTCTTAAAGAGCTAATTTCAGGGAGTTTAGATGGGCTATGATGTGAAGTCAAATTTGTTTTGATGTATACAGCTTTTTCATAACAACTGAAGTTACTTGTTTGTGACTATGTTCTTTGAAAA